TGACATAAAAGATGTAACAAGACAAAAAGCAGACAAGAGAAGTAGACTCAACCAAGTTTCAGTTAGCTTTGCACAGAAACAGCCGGTAGAAATGTCTCTCAGAGAAACCAAGAGAGTGCTTTTTATTTTTATACACAGAGTACATTTCAGTGCGTTTCACTTTTACTCTATTTTTACCAGATTATTTTTATTACAGAAATGATATATTACATACTATATTATTTTAGTATCAGTACTTCTACTGGAGTAAAGAGTGTGTGTACTTTTGCCACCTCTGTTCTCACCCGCCCACTCCCACGGCTTAACCCAGAAAGCCTCTTGCCCCTGAACAGGGTGTTTCTCAGAAAAGACGCAACACACAATGTTTCCACTCTGAAGTTGGCCTGAGTGAAGTTTTACATGCATAACTCTTTATTGATCAAGATAAGAAGACCACACACTCAAACGCTCAGGAAATTCAGCAGCAATGCCCCCCTATGTGTGTAATGTGTGACGAAGGTGGAAGGAAATTGCTACACGGTGGAGTCATCCTGGGCACGGCAGCTCAACACACATCACACACGCATTAACACCAGCACCGGTAGTGTATTAAATTCTGATAATGTCAGTTACCAAACACGCAATAATGCTATATGAAGGCACCAGTTTGAGCCCCGTCACAGGAGCTGTGAATATCCGAGCAGGCCAAGTGATTAATGTACGCACACAAATTCAGAGCGCACACTAAAACACACAATGAGATCCTGTCCCAGATGATTGGGATTATGTGAGGTTTGTCCACATCTGCTTCCTGCTGCAGGCCTCCATCCAGAGCGGGAAGTTACCACCAGGAAAATACCGGTAAATGCTTACTGTGTTTGCTCAGTGCGGCAGCGAAGTCAACAATTTGAACTGAAATTCAAACAGTCAAACTCCAGAAATGACTCTCGGTGTTGATGTTTCTTTCAACCTGTGCAGTGAGTTTGTGAGGGTGTTTATGCTTTCGAGCTCATTTCAGAGACACTAGGGGAGGCCATGCTGTGAAAATGACGTCACTCTGAGCATCACCGGGAGAGTCACACGGTGGTCAGCTGCAGAATAGCACTACGAGGGGTTCACTGTCTCTAACTGAAGGACACTTCTCAAACCGTCTCAAAAGTTAGCCGGCCGACAGCTCAATGTTTCTGTATCTCCATTCATTCTGTCACGTTTTGTAGGGTATTTATTTAACCCTTACAGCCTCTTCACTTCGTCCCTTCCCTTTCTCTGAGCGCCCCGTCCCAAAGGCTGGCCTGACTGATGCAATGTTTTATCCCTTGTTATTTTACCGTGGCTTTTTTGTCATCATTTAAGTTGATATATTGTTTTTTTTTTCTTAGTTTGAAAGATAATGCCATCTGAAACAGGTAAACTACTTAATAGTCAAGTTTCCAGATGTAGTGCACATTTTAACCAAATTTCCAGGAAATCTGCTAAAGAGTTTGCTGCTGTTATATGAATATTAAGAAGGGATGAGCAGTTGTTGGTGCGAATCGTCTGTCCTGTTTAAACCGTTAAAGGAGAAGAGGACAGTGAGATGACGTGATGAAAAAGGATCAAATTGTGGTATTCGATTGATTTTTGGCAAGTTTGTTTGCACGTGCCTCCATGTTTCAACCTTTTATATCTATATTTCTTGTTCGCTGCACAGCCAAGTGCAAAAACCTCTTGCGATATTTAAGTTTCCATTCTTTCCAGGCAATTTCTTTTATGAAAATGTGCATAAAATAAAAAAACAAGGTGCAAGAAACAGCCGAATATTCTGATGCTTGATCCCGAAGGCAGTCTTCTGTTTATCGTCTACCTTTTTCCGATATCTACTTTACTCTCATCTGTCTCTCTCACTGCCCCTCCATTTCCCCACTACATCTTTGCTCCTGCTTTTATTTTCTCCGTCCACTTTGTTTTGTCTTCTGTAACAGCACAAACTCACTAATGAAAGGAAGCAGTGCGAGTAGTTTTTGTGTGTGTCCGTCTTTCGAAGTCGACGGCACGCTGTGTGGCCCCCGTGGCTGAGAGTTTAGGTTAGAAAGGAAGTGGGAACCCAGAAATGACGGCGGTTTTAAAAGGCTGGTTGAAGCCGGTGCTCTCGGCTCAGGCCAGGTGTTTCCTCGGCTCTGTGTGACCATATCGCCAACCACACACACACTAGATGCGTGTGCAGTTTTTTTTTCTTTTTGTTTTCTATTTTTAACATTACGTTCTGCTTTTTGTGTCATCACACACACACACACACACACACACACACACACACAGTCACATGTCCATT